CTAAACCGTTTCTTATCAAAACTAGCTGAGAAGGCCACACCGTTCTTCCACATCATGAAAAAGTCAAAAGGTTTTGTGTGGACTGAGGAGTGTCAAACTTCGTTCGAAGGATTGAAGCAATATCTCTTATCTCCTCTAGTGTTATCTAAACCAGAGGCGGGGGAGAGCCTTTATCTATATTTGGGGGTGTCCCCGAGTGCAATAAGCTCTGTCTTGGTACGTGAGGAGGGTGGTGCTCAGAGACCCGTTTACTATGTCAGCAAAACCTTGAGGGATGCTTAGCTACGGTACACAATACTTCCAAGCTCACCCCGTCCATATTTTTTCACACCAACCTATAGGCGCGCTGATGAAGAGTCCCACAACATCATCAAGGATGTTCAAATGGGCAGTATACCTTAGTCAATTCCACATAGAAGTGAGGCCTCTCCCTTCAGTTAAAGGGCAATGTCTCGCGGATTTCATTGTGGAATGCACAGCACGTGAAGAAGCGACGAAGACGAGGCATGAAGACCATGATTCCGAGTGGTGGATATTGTCCACGGACGGCTCATTCGCGGCCAAATCTTGTGGCGGAGGAGTGGTCCTCACCACACCCGGAGGAGTGGTGGATTATGTGCTTTGCGTCTAGCGGCGAACATGCGGGCGGAGAAGGTCAAGATCCGATGTGATTCAAACCTAGTTGTGGGATAAATCACAAGAGAATTTGAGGCAAAGGAGGAACGCATGAGGAAGTACCGTGATGCTGCATTGGAACTCTTAAAATTGTTCATAGCTTATGAGATTGAACAAATTCCGAGGGGACAGAACCTTGAGGCCGACATGCTGTCCAAACTCAGCGCAGAGACCCCTGATAGGATCTCAAAGATTGCAAGAGTGGAAGAACTTGACACTTCTAGCATATATGCGTGCCCGGTGCACACCATAATTGCTAGAAACGAGGACTGGATGGACTACCTCGTCAAATATATTCGTGAGGGAGTGTTGCCCGCGGAGGAGGTTGAAGCCAAGGTGACTAAGATGAGGGCGCCAAGCTATACAATTTTGAATGACGTTCTATATAAAAGGTCTTACAATGGAACACTCCTCAAGTGTCTACGGCCCAATGAGGCCATGGCTGCCATGGAAGAGATACACACTGGGAAATGCTCAGCGCACCAAGGAGCGCACACCATGTCACGAAAGGTAATTCTACAAGGATTCTTCTGACCGACCATTGTAAAAGATTGTGCAGACTTTGTTAAAAGGTGTGTCGTGTGCCAAGAGTTTCAGAAATCTCCGAGACGCCCAGCAACGTATTACACCCCCATCAGCACAGCCATACCATTCACTAGATGGGGAACCGATCTTATCGGGGCCTTACACCCCCATTTGGTACCGGTGAAATTAGCCGAATCATCTAAAATTGATGAAAATCTGGCAAAAGTGACCCATTTGGTGATCCAGATTTCGGATTATCTGGCTTATCAATTAACTTTTCACCAAACAGAAAACGTGTGATTCTGTGTGCAAAATTGTTTTAAATTTAAATGAGTATGGTTGAAGTGAGTTTCGTGATTGAAGCTTACTTTATATCGTCATTTTAGCTATTTTCATATACCTTTTTTTCTTTATTGTTTTTTGGAACAAATCATTGTATTCCCAAGAAGGATAGATTCGTAAGAGCTTTTCATGTTAATGAATTAAATGAGACGTATATCACCATGCTCAATTTTTCTCTCTCTCCTTATTTTATTAATAAGAAATGTTTTAAATATAATTATTTAATAATTCGACCGTTTCAGTTAATTGAGCCAGGACTTCACCAACTTGAGCAGAATCGGCCGATTCGACCAATCGTATAAGTTAATAGTAAATTATTTGAAAAGATAGCTAAAAAGGTGTTCTATAATAACTTTGGTCAATTCTATAAGAAAAGTAATTTGAACCTTATCTATTTTATATAATAAAAAGTTAAATGTTTCATTTTTTAATAAGTTTGGTTAGTTCATAATGCAAAATATTATAGTCAAATAGTGAAATTAAATCAGATTTATAAAAAATTGTGACCGAGTACTAGCAGCGTATGTTAAACATTTATTTATTTATTTAAATAGGACAAAGAATGAAAATATGAATGAGAAAAGTAAAAGTCCACAACGGCAGCCCATATGATAGCAGTATGAATATTTTGGGCTGGATTCCGTAGAAGTGATACTGCCCAGTCCTTCACTGGTCGAAGCTTGTAGTCCCTTGCATATCCCACACCGGGCGTTAAAAGAATGCTTACAGTCTGTATATACGGAAGACTCTCAGCTCTGAGTGTCCCTTCGGGGACATCCGATAAAATTGGAACGATACAGAGAAGATTAGCATGGCCCCTGCGCAAGGATGACACGCACAAATCGAGAAATGGTCCAAATTTTTTTTCCTATCCTTCTTCTTCTTCCATTTTTGATTCAGGTGAACTTTGTTTTTGGGTGTTGCGTTTTCAAAGATTGTTGCCTCTTCTTTCATGCAATTATTGTATTTCTTTTTGGCCAATTGATTGATGAAATAGTGTATTGTCCTAGGGTTTTATGCTCCAAAGGTTGCTACGTTTTTGGATCATCATTTCATTGTTATCCACTGTGAGTACACATAATTTTCCTCGTTTGATAATTGCAGCGTGGTGAAACAGAGAAACAGGCATTGCATTTCCCTTTCGATATGAAGTAGGAGCAGTCGCACTCATATTTATTTTTGCATCACATATACACTACTATTATTGACATTTACATTTATTTGTTGGAAGCTTGTTTATAATCTTATATGCATAATATTTTTGCATCTCCTACTTATTCAACTGTCGGTCAGGTGAACTTTGTGCATTGGGTTCAGTTGGAATGAACTGAGTGAGCTGTTACTAGACTCAGTGCTTTCATACCCGATGCAGGGATGCCTTAACTGTTGACTATACACCTTTTTTGCTTGCTGCTTCAGATTTGGGAGGTGGATAGGTTTTTATTTTGATGACATGATATTCCCTATTTGTCAGTTTTGGACCCGATATATGACTTTATCATTACTACATAGATCAAGCCACGGTTCTGTTTCTCGGGGTGGTTGCCAGTTTTGAACTGTTTGTCTAAACTATATAACTCAAGCCAATTCTTTTTGCTCAACTGTGGGCTGCAATAACATGATCCTAACAGTTACTAGTGAATTTTTCAGACCAAGCCCTTTTTTCTTCACATGAACAAGTGAAAACAAGGATGACCACATATGGCTTGTGCAGGGACCTCAAAGTCAGAAGCCTTCCCTGCCTGCCAAAGTGGTCAATTTTTTTGTACCAGTGTGGACTAATCTTATGCATCATTGAGCACAATGTCTACTCTTCTTCTGTTTTTCTGCGGGCTTTCCCTCTTCTGTTACCCCCTGCTCTATGTATAGCTTACTGATGATCAACGTTAGGTCATGTTTGTTTGGATGCCAACCTGTTCAGCCCTTTTGGATTGTAAGCAAACAACTAATAGAAACATGTGTGTACTTCGGTAGATGTAATAGCAACTAATGAGCCCAATCACTTTATTTCTGGTTATCTATTCATGTCGTGGTCTCGTGGGAAAATCTTTCTGTGCTTGAACACAGTTACACCACACTAGCAAATCTTGATTGCCTCCAGTTAGTGTTAGAAAGAAATTCAGCATTATATGTGTTAATCTAAAAGTGTCACTGAACCAAACAAACCCCAAGGGCTCTTGGATTCTCAAAATTTGGTCACTGTTGTCTACAGTTGTTCTGTTTTTGGCAAGACTTCTGCATTTATTACTGGAAACTTGAGGCCCCTCTCGGGGTCATTGCCACTTTTGAATTTTCTGTGTAAACTAGAACTCAAGCCAATTGCTTTTACAATGGAACCCCGTTTATGCCTATTGTGCATTGGAGGCGTTGTTGAACTGTGGGCTGCAAAAACATGATCCTAACAGTAACTTACCCCCCCCCCCCCCCTGCTGTATAGCCTAGTGATGATCATTTGTAGGTTATGTTTGTTTGGATGCCAACCTGCTCAGCCCTTTTTGGATTGGAAGAAGCACTACTGTAAGCTGAAGCAGGGAAGAAAGGAAGAAAGAAGCAACTAATAGAAACATGTGTGTACTTCGGTAGATGTAATAGCAGCTAATGTGCCATTCACTTTATATCAATAAACATATATTTATGCATTTAAGAAATTAAAAATATTTGTTCTTCACTGTGATAGAATCATAGAAGTAATAATTATATTTAGTAAGCATATTTTATAATAGAAAGTGTTACTGTATTTGATACTAATTGGATATTTGAGTGGATAAAAACATCCTCAGTTTCAAATAATTATATTAAACCTAAACATTAGCAAGTGGATTGTGTCAATCGTGTATACATTTGAAATTGAGTCAAACTTTATATAAAGGCCATACTAATTACTAATCACAGTAATTGTTATTGTATAATATTTTTGAACTAAAAGAATCAAATTCACAATACTAACTAATTAATTAAATTTGTTACGAGATAATACTGTAGTATAAAAGACCAAATGTATTAATAACTAAAAAGTAATTAAATATACTACTTTTTGGTCATTTTTAGATGCAAACATACTATATTAGTTATAATATCTTACATAACAAAGATGTCATATTCAAAATAAATGTGCTAAATATTATAACTATAAACTAGAGAAGGATAAACTTTATTGGTTTTTTCTTCTTTTTAGCTTGAAAGTTGAAAGTGTTCTATGAGGTTATCCTTGTCTCTTACAAAACCTATTGACATTCCATAAACTTAACCACAAACCCCTACATAGTAGAATTATCTCAATAAAGATTTACTATAGAGCAGATCCAAGAATCCTGAGTGGGATCGAGTTTGAAAGAGTTTTATACTGGGCTTAAACTCAGTAAAGTGAGTTAAAAATGAAACTAAAGATTTGCAAAAACATAAATTGCCCCGAGCTTCAACTCACCATATAGCCCTAACGTAGTCCTCTCCTCTATTTAGTTTATATGGATAAATACATAAAAAGTGAAATTCATAAAAAGTCCATAACAAATGACAATGTCAATACATTTCTCCAACCAAAAACCGTAAATCGTCTCATAGACATAAATATTTCGACCAATCGGGCATTGAATTCTCAATCAGAATCCTCAATATTTGCACACAAAATGAATTCATTGGAAATCTCACGATGTTTGCTTTGTCTCACCAATCGCGATAACTCAATTGCTTTAGACTATGTTTGGATCGCCGAAAATCCCGCGAAAAGGAAAGAAATTACATTCACTCAACTCCTATTTTCTTTCCGTAGCATTTTCGTGTTCCAAACATACTCAAAATAAAAGCACATTCCCGAAAAAGTTTTGCACTAAGTTAGAAAACACACACACTATTTTACATACTGACACTATATATATATATGCAAATTCAGGCTGGCCCGCTCCTCCGCATTCATCATCTACCAACATCTACATTCATATATAACCACATTTGGTTTGTTCTTCCTAATTCAATAAGAATTCAATCTTCTTTTCCTTTCAGCCACAACAGAGAGAAGCCTTGAAACGCCTTGAGTCCACATTTCATATTCCTTGTGATTTTTGCACTCAAATTCAACCAAACCCCTCACTTGTGTTCTTAGCCCAAAGTATCTAAAGTGTTGCCCCCCCTCAAACAAGTGTCTCCCTGGCCAAGCCTGCACATCCTTGCATACCTCTAATACTACATCTGCAATATACCCACCATTGGAAGACATCATGAATATACATATGTATATACTGTTCTGGACTGGCAGAGTTAAATATATTTTAACAGTACACCAAAAATGTCATTCCATGGGCTAAGTTCAACTTACTCTTCTTCTTCTTTGTGATGGTATTAGCAACATGCTTACTCTTCATCTTTAGCACTACATCTCCGCTACGGTGTATATAAACGGATACTACTTTCCAATGTAGATCACCTGTGACAAAAGATTCGATCACAAATACAAAAAATATAACCATGTATGAGACATATGGCTTAATGTGATTGACTCATTGTTAATATGATATATAAATATAAAATACTATGCCTTTTTCATCCATCTAAAGATGAAATAGATAAGAAATGTGGCATACATTATTGGATTTTGAAATTCATGTGTTCTTATTTTCTTAAGTTTTAGTCAGATCACTTTAACTTATATTATATCCTAAAAATCGATCTTATGTCAATACCTTACACCACATATGTCTCTCTCTATTCTATTTGGCCTCTGCCACAATATCTAAGAGGGTCTTAAGACTTGACTTACCATCCTAAGGTACTCAACTTAATTCGGTCTCAAATTAGATCAAATTGTATTAGACTGAAATGGCTAAGGCAGACTTATAAAAAAATAATATAGACTTAAAAAATACCGGATGAGACGAGATGTAGGCATGTTACCACACATGATCACACCACACCATTTGAAATTAAACATGACCTAATAAAGTTTTGTTCATACTAGAAACCAGATCAAATCAAACCTAATCATACGAGATGAAAACAGTTCAAACTTGACCGATAAATTTCAATTCAAATGAAAAGCTAAATCATGGTTAGTTTAAGCCTTTAAGGCCATTATATAAGTTTGCATTTTTGTATTTAGCAATAGATTGAGTTAATACATTGAACTGAACTACTTTGACATACTTTTTCTTTTGATTTAAAAAATTTAAAGTTACCATTCCGGGTTCTCTTGAGCAGCTCCCGACCTCGGGCTAACAATTCCTGGTTACAAACACCTAAGAAATTTTCTTCAATGTCCAGTCCCTCGCAATAGCCGTTGTTGTTGCATGTTGGACCTTTATTGAGTTTTCCCTGTCCATCCTCTACCGCCGCAGCTGTGACTGTGGGAATACTCCAGACTTCCTTCAACGCTCTCGCCTTGAGAGTAGCAGCTCCGCGTAGAGCTTAAACATAGGAAGAAATGATAATGAGTTCATATGTATTGACCATTAGGCCATTATTTGATCATGGCATGCGCCATAATTAAAGGATGATGAGTAAAAATGTTATGAATCCCAAAATAAGAATACTACTCTCTATGCTTTTATTATTTGGGAGTAAATACTGCCATGTTTTGTCATTACCGACTTTAAATGTGACATTATTTCCATGTTTGCCCGTGATTACTGCAATGTAGAGAATGAAAACATAATACTCATATTTCGGTACTTCAAAATGTTGTTACTCTTATTTCAGGAATTTTACGATATACCTATAAGTTACTCGGGAACGGATAAGTTACCTGTGGCCGCTGCGGCTGTGAGGGTTGAAATATCTCCATGGGAACGAACGTTGACGGCAGAGCTAATGGCGGAGATAAGGTGATCGCGGTCGGCTCCCATGGACTCTGCGGCCTCCACGCACTGCGCAGCCACCAGCATTGCAGCTGAGGCCACAGCCATGTCTGTCTTGGCGGCGCTCTCATCATTTCCTGTGGATGAAGCGGCAGCAGTACCGGCCGTGATTGCCGCAACTGAAGCAGCCACTCCGGCGACGGAAACCAAAGCGTGGAGCTGAGCGTTTTGTGCCCTGCTCTCTTCTTTCTTCTTCTCTCTTCTCTCCTTCAACCACCTCCCAACCGTTCTGCCTCCGGCAGGGGTGGTTGCTCCGCTGCCGGCGTATCCATTACTCGTGTTATGATTAGTGAATAAAGGTTGGAGACTGTTGTTTGCTTGTAAGTACTGCTTGAACGAAAAAATCAAGTCACATTAAACTCCATACATATTAAGATATGACAAAAATAAGCTTCAACCTGTTATAACTCTAGTGATTATATCCAAATAAACTTCAACAAGATACACAAACTTCTAAATAATTCATAAATAGGAGTGCACGATTCTTGTTTTGTGAAAGAATAATATAACTCCTATTTGAAAAAAAGTTGAAATACTTGAACTCATAGCGACTTAGTTGACCTCAAACGCTATACTTGAAGTCTTGAAATATATTGTGTAGAAAGAGTTCTTTATTTTTTAAGAGTTAACTACCACAACAATTAAAGAAGATAACATATTAAGTTTGTTTTACTATTTTGTCTTTTCTTCCTAAAGTTGAGAGGCATTTATGAAACAATTATTCTTTAGGTACACCTGGGTTACACTTCCTCCCCACTTTTTCCTCCCTCCCTCCTCCCCGCTTGATTCATATGCACCCCCCTTCCTCTCTTTCTTCTTTTTTGCTTCTTTCTTTCTTCTTCTTCATCATCTTCTTCTTTTCCCTTCTCTCTTTTTCTTTTCTTTTTACGTTTTATTAGTTAAGTTTAGAAACGATTCCTTTGAATCATTGTTATTCATTATCTTTTTCTTCTTTAATTCTTTCTTTTTACGTTTTATGCACACCGACACTGGTTTGCTCTCAGTGTATGTGTACACAGATGAAAATTGTATATGTACAAACACTTTTTTTCTACACAGACAACTAGTGTTTATGTACACCGACACTTGCAAACGTATTTTGTTCACACCGGCACTTTTTTGTCTACACAGACACCTAATGTCTGTGTACACCGACATTGGTTTCCGTGCAACCAGCCTGACAGATCTGAAAACTAATTTTATTCACACCGACAATTTTATCGAAAGTGTCTGTATTTATATGTTTTTTGTCTATGTGAATGGCAAATAATAGGTTGTAATCCGGGGTGTAACCCAGGGTGTACAACAAGAATTACCCTTTATGAAAATGGAAAGGAGAGAAAAATATCATCTTGATACAAGTAAAATACAATGTTATGCAAATACAATTATACAATTGAAACAAAGGGAGTACCATTTTGCATCAATTATTGATTGTTGTTCCAAATCTTCGTCCTAAAAAAGTAGAAATCACTATTTGTTCCCTAACAAAAAACGCTATTTGTACACATTTTATCTACGCACTATGTACACACTATATTTTTTTAATTTTTATCATTTCAATTTTACATTTTGAACTATCAAATAAGCTCTCGAACTTTCATAAAAAGTGCAAATAATCCCTTTTGCATGAGTCTTTGTCCGGTTGTTGTCGTTTGGGGCGGTTTCCGGTGGAATTTTTTGATGAATTTTTTTGAGAATCTTCTTCTTTAAGTCTAGTTTATCCATACCAAATTTCAGCTAAAAATTCAATCGAGAAAGTAGTCAAATGTTTTTCTAAAATATACTGCGCTGCCTAACTGCGCAGTTATCTTCAAAAATTCATTTGACTGCCTTCCCGATTTGAATGTTTAGCTGAAATATGGTATGAGTAAATTAGACTTAATTAAGAAGATGCTCAAAAAATTTCATCAAAAAATTGCACCGGAAACCGCCCCAAATGGCGACGGCGGGACAGAGCCTCCTATAAAAGGGCTTATTTGCACTTTTTATGAAAGTTCGAAAGCTTATTTGATAGTCCCCCTACTCCTTTCTTCATCGTTTCCCTTTTTTGATTCTTTCCCATAGCTCTTCTTTCTTTTTTCTTCCATCTTCATCGAATCATCGCCTTCTCATCTCCACAATCTTCCATTTTTCATCTTCACCATCTTATGTCATCTTCCATCACCATCACCATCACCATCATCATCACCATCTTTATCATCTTCACCACATCCATCATCTTCCATAACCGCTTATTCATCTTCCATTTTCTATGATTCACTGAAGATGGAGCGTCATCGAAAAACTAAATCGGAGATGAACAATGACTGTAATTATTGATTGTGTCGTCTTAAATTTTAATACCATTTCTTTACGTGAAAAAGTAAGACTGAAATTCGTAAATATTTGTAAAGACATCGATTCATGTGTCGGGTTGCATATGATGAAGATGGTGATGGTGAAGGTTGAGCTATTTGGAGGGAGGAAAGTAAAGAGAGGAGAGAAAATGAGTAAAAGATGTGCGCATTTTGTACGTCTCTCATTCTTCCAAAAATCCTGTCGAGTTGAGATGTGGGGAGTGAGGATTAACCCTATGGAACATTGTATGTCTTTCAAATGGTTCCAATTTTCAAACGGATGGTTCATCATTGTCGTAGTAAGACCGTACAAAATAATGCAACAGTGGTGGATAGGCAGGTCAAAAGGTGCGGAATGGGCACAGACACGAAATAAAGTTGGTTTCGAAAGAAGCGAAAGTGTATATTGTAACAAAAGTAGGGTACTCGAAATCATACCGTATTACTCCATTGATTAACAAAAGTGGGAATCAAAAGTAACAAAGACCATAAAAGTGTATTCTGCTTTATTTGCTTTTTTGAATAAAACTCTGGCTTTTGGATGATAGAATGATCCAACCCTAATCCCTATATACTTTGCATTCAGAGACCCATCATTGACTAATAATACTGTTTTTTTAACTGTACCCGTGAAATTTTGGTTTTTTTCATTTGACCATTCACGACATACAATCATTCTTGATGTACACACCTTATACACACCATGTTTGTGAAGCTTTTTTTTTGTCTGTGAATCCGGTTCACAGACAATATTTTGTTTGTGCAAAACATTGTCTGTGAATCGATGTTCACAGACAAAAAAAAAGCTTTCACAGACATAGGTGTGTACAAAAGTGTGTATAAGAGTGTGTACGAATATCATTTTTGCACGACATAGACAACTTTTTCTACCAGTAAAACCAGAGTTCATTTGGTAATATAATGGTGCGGTTGATGAACGGTTATTTTAAATTAATCGTTTAGAATTCTTGAAGTTTGCTCTAAATGAATGGTAAGGATTCGATCATAATGATTAATGAGTCCTCCATATATTTTCTCCTAAAAATGTCGATATAAATATTAATACCATTCATTTTATTAGCTTCAACAAAAGAATACTTCCAAATCGTAAACAAGGGATACAGAAGTTAAGAAGTAGCAGCAAAATGGACATTAATAACATTTTCTTTTTACTTTCATATATTAATTGGACTAATTTCAGATCAAACCTTTGACAATAATAAAATACACATAAAACAGACACCTAGCAAACTTGATCACACCACTGAAAATTTGCAACCTTTAATTACTGATCAGTGAAAATAAAGCATTACTGATATGTTTGGAGGACATACGTTCTTGTCTTCTAGCTTTTGTATTATTTAAAAAGTCTTTAAAAGTTTCTAGTTGTATGTTTCGCACGCCAATTTTTAAGAGCTTTGATAAAAGTAAAAGATCTTTTTTGAAATGATACAGTGAGTAGCATCTCAGATAAGTCCGTAGCTTTTAGAATTAATTAGTCCTAACAGCTTATATACCAAACAGAGCTAAATCAAACAGTCAGTTTTTTACCAAACAGCTACTGACTTTTCTTTTTAAGATCTTTTCAATCACTAAAAGCTAATAGTTACCAAAAAAGCTCATAAAGTATCTTTTACGCTAATTGTGTCAAACATATCCTACATATCTTCAAATGCTAATGCTTTGGGACAACTAAATAATTAAAACCATACTTTTATTGAAAGAGAATATTGGTGTTTTGAAAAAAGTGTCATTCTTTATACATAATTGCATTCTACTACTAGTAAATGATTATATTAGCCACCATCCCACGACAAACCACATGGATGTGGTGAAACGGATTGAAAAAGGCGATTAATTAAGTTAACCACTTGACTCTACCAATTAGAAACTAGTCATCCGTGGGACAATTCTTCTTTCATTATATTTTGTTGTTTCTTTCTATAAACTTTGGTTACATGTGATGTGGATTCCTAAAATGAATCACTTTTTTCACTAAGTAAGCAATATTATCGTAAAAACTTCAGTGATTTTACTCCAAAACAAGTGTTTAGGACGAAAATAGAAAAATTATTTTAACATAAAAATTAACACTCCATCTTTTCGTGGGTGCTAAATTCTTTTAATACTTTTTCTTATTCATTTTGTAAAACTTTATTTCTACTTTTTCAATATTTTATTTTCTGTTTTTCTAGCTTTCCTTTTCTATCTCATGCCACTATTTCGGAGCATTTACTCATTCCTTTTTCATACAGTATTTCTTTCTCTCTTCAAACATCACAAGTTACAACGCTATAATTTTCTCATTAAACCCCGCAACAACCTTTTGGGAGTTGTGAGTTCGTCAAGAGTGGAGGGAGTAATGCGTGGATCGACCTTGATTTCCAAAATAGAAGTAAAATAATGCAAAATTTTAAAAATACTACTCAAAAGTTTGGTAGAAGAAAATATAGGAGATGAGAAGTTGTTTTTCATTTTGGCATTTTAAAGCCCATTTGATTGAATTTATTTTGTAGGATCATTTTAATTATTTTTTATACTCTGTATATGTTTTTCTTTATTTTAATAATAAAATTCTCATAATTCAGTAGATTCAAGCCATTCAACTGTTTTAACGATAATGCTTCATCAATAAAAACAACACTTGGAGTCTATTTGGGAACACTGAAATTGGCTTCATCGGCTAATTTCGCTGAAATTTATGAATTTATGGTCGAAATGGCTGGATTAGCTGATTCTACTTGATGGAGTTATGGGACTAGGCCCAGAGCCTAATCGACCCAAGCCCCGAACTTCGACCCGTAGATCCAGGTCCACAACTTGGAGCGTGCCTACCATCCCAACGGGGAACCTGCCAGTTCAGTCGATCCGCCAGCCAGGAAAAGTAACAGTCAAGCAATTAATGCGCGTTTAATTATGTATTTAATTCTGTATTAATGTTGTATATAATTAGTCATTATTATCGGTAGCGGTTACAAATTGTATACGCCTATAAAAGGCACTTCGTAATTCAAACTAAGGAAGCAAATTCTACATGCTATTTCTGGCTAACTTTCCATATTCGTACTTTCCTAATTCTTGCTTGAGTGTCGTACGTAGCTTTCCTAAAAGCCTACGAGCGTCCTATTTTGGACCAACACTACTGATTTACAAAAACATTATATTTAAAATATTTTTATTAATAAAATAAAGAGAGAAAAATACAGAAAAATAAAGAAAAATTATACTAACTCCATCCCGGTGAACTTTGCTGAGTGCAAAGTAGATGAGAAATAAGAATAATAAAAACTGAGGAGAAAGAAATGTGCAGAACCACAAATTAGTTGCTTTAATGGGTAAGTGCCAAAGTTTTTCGGAACAACAAAAAAGAAAAGTTGGTAAAGTCCAATAGGACGAAGAAAGTATGAAAAAATAGCTAAAATGACCGTCTATATTAACTTCTGTCAATCGTAATCGAGTAACTTCAACCTTGCATTCTTATTATAACACAATTGAACGGGCAAGTAAAAAGAGAAAACACTTGTAAAAGAAGTTATCCCAATATAAGGAAAACGTGAACAGTACCTTAACAACATCTTCGAACTCATCGGAGGGGGAGACCGGCGGGCTATCGGTGCCTTCTGTGAGGGAACCGTTCAGAGGTCCACTGCTATGCGACAGCCTTCCTGATGTTAGCGGCGATATTTCTTGCCCATTGTGCTTCTTAAAATAAAATTTAAAAAAAAAACTAATTTTATTTAAAGATTTCATTTTTTTATCAAGAAAAATGATCATAAATGGGGAATGCTTACCGACTGAGACATTATTCGTTCGAGCACCAGCTGAGAAGTAGCTGACGAAGCAAAGGGGAATGCGCTTCCGATGAGCTTAGACGGCTCCAAATACTCGCCGGCGGAAATCTCCGGCAAGGGACTGCTGCCGGTTGGAGCGGCGGTAAGAGTGGCAGGTTTGGGAGGCAAACTAGATGCAGCAGAGGAAGGAGGAGGAGCTAGAACCTTGCAGACCTGTAGAGCAGAGATGCTCCATGACCTGGAGAGGAACTCCATTGGCTGCCGTGGGCTTTCCGGCAGCTGAAGTCCGCCATCGGAGCTGCTCTCTCGCTTCCACCTCGAATCCATCAAAACAGAGCAGCTTGTGGGAAATTGAAGCTGAAGTCACTGCTTTTGGAAGAAGAGTCTCCGCTGCACTTTAATTTTCTTTTTGTAAGCTTTTTGGTGATTGGGGAGAATAGAGATTCGAATTTATTGTGCATATGTCATACTTGTACATTTGAAGTACCCATCAGTCACAAATAAAAATACTTTCGTATCTCTCACACCATCTCTAATACTACAGTGTGCACGGTGCACATGTGGCATGAGAGAGATAGACACAATAAATTGATTTTATGATATTTCTCTCTCCGTCATTCTACGGTCTCATGTATTTTTGGTAAGTTTTTCCCTGCAATGTCAACCACAATGTCTACATCTATACATTGTGTTTGACATTGTGAAAAGAAAAACTTACCAAAATGATATAATATCCTTCAAATAAGGAGAGATATTCTATTTATTGTTTTTTCATTGGTTATCTCTCATGACACGTATACACCGTTAATGTTTTAGCATTGAAGATGTCATCCTTTTTTTAAAACATTGCCATACATAAACACTCTCTCCATTCCGATTTATTTTGCAAAGTTTAATCACACAAGAATTAAGAGAATTACCATAAATTATATACTACGTAGTATTGTTTTTACAATTTTACATATCTGTCAAAAAGTACATGTCTTTAAGTTAATAGAAAAAAGTAAAAAGTATGAGTAAATTTGTAACTTTATTCTTATTTACATACCTAAAATAGAAAGTGGAAAACCATTTTAAAACAAACAATATAGGAAATTTTGCAAATCAAATTGGGACGGAGGGAATAATAAATCTATTCCACAATAAATTTTAAAAAAGACTACAAAAGATGTCTTAATATAAATCTTAATGGAAAGAATTACTATTTTGCAACTAAATGATTTAGACAATTTATTGACTGAATTATGAAGTCATTCTTTGAATTAAATCATAAATAAACATGACTAAGCATAGTGCACCAGGTCATTGAGAGAGTTTGGGACACACTTGGAGATGAAGGGAACGATGTCAATTCAGATGGAGGCGCTCTTCATGTGAGAAAACTAATAAAGTTCACTCAAAAGCAGTGGCGCACCTAAAAAAATAGAGTAACAAGGTCCCTCCCTAATGTAAATCTAATTAATATAAAGTAAAAAAAATATTAAAGAACCATAATGTTTCCTAATTAACGCACATCATCAAAATATTAAGATAGTTAACGCACAAATTTACATATAAAACTCATTCTACAAATTTTCAAATGTACCCTTCTAGATTTCATTTGTTAGAAATATTTTATAATAGAATCATCATTCATAATACCAAAAACATCTGGCTTAGCATATGTAACTAAGCAATCATTCAACATTGATCGTAGATCTTATTCCGCAACTCATTCTTCATGAACTTCATACCTGAAAACGCTCGTTCAACACTTATTGTAGCTACTAGGAGTAGCAGAGATTACTTAATGAGTGTATGCACATGCCGATATGTTAGATGCGCCTTCGTGGACATCATTGCAATAAAAAGATCTACTAAACCATTCCAATCGGAAAACACTTATGGATAAAATTTTGTCGGTTTAAGCAAAGGTGCCTGATTAAAAGTTTCAAACGAGGGGAAAGGACATAAACAAGACGCGGAACGCAATAACTTAGTGCTTGGCACATCAAACCTACTATCAAGCTCTGCCATGAACAAATTGACAATTTCATGCAAACAATCATACCTGTGATGATGCATATTAGTTATACTATATGAAATTTGTTACAAAAACGTAACAACTTCATCAAACAAATCGTCTCATCCAATATTTGTTTTCATACTCCTTAAATGTTGACAATTGTGACCGGTTTGAAAGCATTCACAAGATCTTGTTCACGCCTTTGCGATGCCTATGAGAGATCATCTGTAATAGCCAAAAGATTGACCATAAAATGAAGCATGAAACAAAATTCACAAGTTCGCAATTCATTCCGAAATGAAGTTGTGTAAGAGCATTCGAGTCAAAAAGAGCAGCGCAATGTCCAACCTGAATAAACAAACACAATAAATGTTAAGTAAGAAACAAAAACTAAGCATCGCATGTGTCATCCTGTGGGCCATAGGTGGGCCTAAAGCCATCCTCGTATCTCCCCAATCTCTGTCTGTTGAGTCTCTATCTGCTATCGCATCTCCCTGATGGCGATATCCTGTGCTAATCGATAGTCTTGGAACTCTGTCAGGGCCATAGTCTATGTATCTCGCATCTGCGTCAATGCTGTCACACGTGCATCCCGACACTCTGAGAATGAGGTCGGAAGACTCCTCATCCCGTCCATATCGATCTCCAATCGGATGCACTAGGCATGTCCGATGAGGGGACATTGGATCCCCTGTGTGGTGGTGCTCGGGAAGAACTGCTCAGCCGTCTGCTCGATGCCTGGGACTTGCGGAGTACTCTGCTTCTTCTTGATCCTCATGTTGGCAAAGGATGAGGATCGAAGAATACAGATGTTATCCTGTAGTGGTAGTAATCCTGGAATGTCCAGGTTATGGTAGAATGATCGAGCAAGGATAGTGACAAAAGGCCCTACCTGGATAGTGCGGCGGACACTCTTCCCTTGGTTCCGGAAGAAACGAGCCATGAGAACCGCCATATTCATCGGGGTGCGGTGAATCAAACTCCAAAAGAAAAATAAGTCTTTTTTGGACAACCTGTTCGTGTTGTTGGGTCGTCCAAAAAAACCACAAGATAGTACGGAGAGTATGTAGAAGTGTGTCTGCCTCCACCTGTTCGTCAGGGGTACATTCAAAGAAAGTCTCTGGTGTCTGTACAATGTGCGTGCCGGAACTCATTGAGGTTGAATGCCTCAAGTAAATGGGTCGGGAGAGCGCGAAACTCGTCTGCTTGTGTGTATGTCGGGGCATAGAGCCCCATCCTCCATCCGAGCTCAGCCACATTGATGGAGTGCTTAACACCTAGAATAGTAAACCTCATCCGAGTCTCAAATCCAATGACACCTAATGTCTGGATGGCCTGACCATAATTAGTGAAGTGTAGAGAGCACATGAACTCAATCATCATTGGGAATCTGGCCCTCTCCTGTATGGATAGAATGTTCCGCCAAAAAGAATATCCGGGCGGGGCATCAATGTCACCCCAGTACTCACCAACTCTCGAGTATCCCATGGTCCAGGATCATGGGAGATAGGAGACTGCGGAAATGCCTCCATGTCTGAAAGCGTCTACGGTCAACGTCCGTGGCAAATGGGATATCTGGCTCGAACTGTGGGTCTTGCCTGCTCATTGGTGGGTCCTCGAAGATGGGATCATCACCTCTTCCTCTAGACATATGCAAGAAAAAACAAAGTAAGATCTTTTGGGGTTAGTTTTTTTTTATTTTCCTTTTTTTTGGTTGGGTTGTCTCCCAATAAGCGCTTTTTTAACATCACTAGTTTGACGAATTTCCCTTTTTGTTTCAAAATTTATAGAGATAGAGAATCTCCTTAGTTTTTTCAATCGAGCCACTGTGGTAAAGTTTGAGTTGGTGATCGTTGACTTTAAAAGGACCCCAATTTGCATCTTCAATCTCGACCGTTCCGTAAGGGTAAGCTTTTACGACCGTGAATGATCCGGATCATCTTGACTTGAGTTTTCCCGGAAAAGGCTTTTACCGTGGTTGGTGGAGGGAGTTTTTCTATCGTTTCAATTTTCGCACGGTCAACCTCGACCCCATTGCTTGACACTTTATGTCCAAGTACTATACCCTCTTTCACAAGGAAGTGACATTTCTCCCAACTTAAGGCTAAGTGGGTTTCCTTGCAGCGGATAAGTACTTTTTCTAGGTTTTCAAGGCATTTTTCAAAGGATTCCCCAAAAATAGAGAATCATCCATGAATACCTTCATGAAGTAGCCAATGTATTTTTCAAAAATGGCAACCATGCACCTCATGAAGGTGGAAGTGGCATTACAGAGACCAAAAGACATCCTACTAAAAGCAAAGATCCCAAAAGGGCATGTGAACATAGTTTGTCGTGGTCTTCCGGGTTGACATGGATTTGGAAGTATCCATTCATGCCATCCAGGAAACAATAATGATTATGGCCTGCCAACCTTTGTATTAATTAATCGATGAAGGGGAGGGGAAAATGGTCTTTCCGGGTGGCTTCATTCAGTTTGTGGTAATCAATTACCATCCGCCACCCGATAATGGTTCGACTGGACAGACAGAAGTTCACCTTTTTCATTTTTCAGTCATCCCCCCTATTTTGGGGACAACGTGAATCAGACTTACCCATTTGCTATCAGAGATCCGCATCCAGCAGTTTAACAATTTCTGCATGCACTACTTCCATCATGTTTGAGTTCAAAAGTTGTTGTGGTTAAACAACATGTTTAAATCCTTCCTCAATCTTGATGGTGTGGTTACTAAAGGTGGGGCTTATTCCATTGAAGTCCTCAAGTTTCCAAGAAATAGCTTGCTTGTGTGTCTTAAGGACTCCAAATAATTTGTCTTTTTGTTCCTCACTTAAGTGTGCAGCGATGACGACAGGGCACTTGCCTTCATCATCCAATAATGCATATTCTAAATGGTCAGGGAGTTTCTTTAGTTCGAAAGGGTGGTCATTTTTTAAGTTTTGTTCATTTTTCTCCCCCTCGAACTCAGTCAATACTTCTGATGGAGTATATGGCCCGGGAACCCCCGGCCCACAGACTCCTACTACTCCAATAAAGGCCCAACAGGCCCAGAAAGCACAACAGACCCAAATCACGACGCCCAAGATACCAAGCAGCCCACAAATGCGCACCAGGGGTGCCTTCGGCCCCCTGGCCGAAGGCTCTAACTCTCACAGGAGGGCTGAGACAGCAAAACAAAGTTGCTGGGAAAAACGGCGAAAATCAGTAGCCCTCGGCACCTGGAGCCCTCGGCAACAAGGGGGTCCCCGGTACTCAGAGCCCTCGGTTAGTCCTCTACAGCCGAGGGCACCTTTCCCGACATGATATCCGCGCCACATGCGTACAGATCATCGTACCCTGTACAACGTCCCATCCAACAGCCGCATTAAATGCGGCCACATGCGGTTGCCAGCGCCAACCAGTTGAGGTGACCTCTCGGCCAATGGACGCTTGACATGTGTCCCTGTCCGGCATTTATTGCTACTATAAATAGCACCCCATTTCCTCATTTGTAACCAAGTCACAAGTCATAATACACACGCTGCTGCATACTTTCTA